TCCGGGCTGGTGGAGCTCGCCGTCTACGGGCTGCTGCTCTACGGGACTGTCCTGTACTTCGGCCTGGGCATCAACTGGGAGAAGCAGCACGTTGAATCCAAGATCGGTACAGAGCTGCCCCCCTCACTGCAGGGCAGGCCCTGCTAAGTCCAAACCTGGGCCTGCGTGCCCCCTCGAGCCCCAGGGCACTAGCAGGATGCAGCCCCTGAGTTTGGCCATGCTTGGAGAGCCCCTCCAGGTTGAGGCTGGCCAGGCTGCCCCCAGGCCTTGAATACAGCATCACTCAAGCCACCCTCGTTAGGCTTAAAAATTAACAGGTTGGGGTGCTATCCCTGGGAGCTCTGGTACGTCCGAGCAGGCTGGGCCCGGCAGCTGTCAGCCTGAACTTCCCTATCCATGCTCAGTGCCTGTGGCTTCTGCAACCCGCTGCGTCCCCAGGGGGTGAGGGGGTAGGGGCCGCGGCTGTCGACTCCCGCCTGGTACTAGCTGACCACTGTGTGCCTCCCCCCCCTTAGCTTTCACCTACCATGAGTTCATGCAGTGGTTGAAGACTGTGATGTTGCCTCTCATTGGGCTGGGGCTGCTCTCCTTGGGCTGGGAGATCCTCTTGTCCATGTACCGGTATGTGACCACTGGGGGCCTGGGAGGTGGTGGAGTCATCGGGGAGAGGCTGCGGAGCCCAAAATCATAGACCCTTAAAGCTGTGGGGCTGGCAGAGTGGATCAGGCCAGACAAACCTGTGTCCAACCTTATAGCCACCCGACACAGTCACCCCTGACACAGCCTCAGGCATCGTCCCCGCCCCTGGGAAAGCAGGGGGGCTGCGGCCTCCAACCTCCTGCTGCTGCCATGGGGGTCATGGGCACTGCAGAGAGCCCAGGTCCAGGCCGTGCCCCTGCTGCAGAGGAAGGCAAAACCCCCCGGTGTAACCAGTCTGAGCAGGGGAGAAATCCCTCCCTGCCCCAATACAGCCTGAGCGCGGGGGCAGGACCCTCCAGCCAGGACCCTGCGGGGTTGGTGTCAGCAGGAGCATTGTCACAGCCCATCCCCATCCCCATCCCCAGCCTGGGCTGCAGCAGCACCAGCACCTCAGGGGGAGGCTTGAAAACCCCCTGACACATGGAGCAGAAACAGGGGTAGGGAGCAAGCAGCACAGCCCAGAAGCCTGGGACATCCCCACAGCAGAAGGGCCCTGGCTCTTAGTGCCCAGGGCGAGGCTGGCTATGGAGTGGGGGCATTGCCGACTGCCCTTCCCATGTGTCTGCATCTGACCCACACCTGCCCCACGCTCGCTCCCCTAGGTGTGCCTGCATCCGGGGCTTCCTGTGGAAGGTGTGGGCTGCGCTGCAGTGGGCCGTCTTCACCACCACCACGCTGGGGATGTTTAGCCTCTCTCTGGTGAGTGCCTGCACCCAGAGCCAGCAACCCATTGCTGCAGCAGGGAGGCCACGGGGCAACCCGGGTTGCAGGGCTGGACTCAGCCTCCTGCCGAACACTGTGGGGAGAGGGAAAAGCTGCAGCCTGTGGGGGTTGCTGGCGCAAAGCCTGCGGGCGTGGGAGCCCAGGGATCTGGCCCAGCTTTGGGATATAGTATACGGTGGTGTCAGCACTGCAAGAAGCAGTGCGTGGGAATATTGAGCCTGGGACTTGGGGACTAAAGCACCTATGGAGCATGGGGGTGAGGGGCATGGCCTCTGCATCAGATTACCTGGACTTTCAGTGCTGGAGGCTGGAAGGGAGAGAGGGAGCAGGGGAAACCCTGCTTGCACCCAGTCGCTCTCCTGTCCAGCCTCCGCTCCGTGCGACACCAGAGTCTGGGCACGACAGACGTGGGTCTGACACAGTCCACGGCAGCTCTGATGCTCTTGTGGTGCTGGGTGCGAGTTCTGCTTAGGGCAGTGCGGCTGGGGCTGGGGGGCAGCAGGTTTTGCGTGCTGCCAGAACTGTCCATGCCTCATGACTCTCTCCCCGCGGCCGTTCAGGTACCATTCACCTACATCGAGCATGAGTCAAATGGGAAGCTGTGGCCAGCTGTGCACCAGCTGTTCGGTGCCGTGGACCGCTACCAGCTGGCCAACTCGTACGGGCTCTTCCGGCGCATGACGGGGGTGGGAGGCCGTCCCGAGGTGGTGCTGGAAGGCAGCTA